ATGGGAGGACCGTATTGCCCTTCAGTCGTATTCATGTAAGAGTGGGGCAGGTGCGTGGGCTGCCTGGCTGCTGCCGCCGTGGCCTTCAATGCGGAGTCTGTCATCTTCTTTCCAGCCCGAATCAAAGGGGAAAAGGATTTCCAGTAGCTCCTCTACAGATCAGGCCAAGACGAGGGATGCAGCACCAGCTGATAGGAAGAGGAGCCCAATGAGAGGGAGAGCTACTCCTGAACAATCGGAGAATCCACATGCCAACGTTCAATTAATCTCTCAGATGATTTTGTAGTAGTCTGCGATGCAGCATTAGACACACTTGATAATGATGCACTTGGTGAAATGCTGGGTGACGAAATTGACGAGGAGAGTGTACTGTTATCCTTTTCAGTAAGATCCATGCTTTCTGATAGGGTCCTAGTGCCATCTGATGCAGCTGTTGTTATTGGTGACACCCTTCTTGATGAAATTGCCAAGGATGAAAGTTTGAGATCTTTACGAACACCGACCTTTCTGGACACATCATCTGCACCATTAGAAGATGACTTTTTTGGTGATCCCCCTTGTGATGACAATTGACGAAGAGACCAGCCGGTCAATTTTATCAGCAAGATCAATACTTCTTGACAAGGTATTTGCAGCGGAGGACATTGTATTTCGCTTCGGTGAAACCCCACGTGACGGAACTGATGGAAGAGTAGACCTACTGATCTTATCAGTGAGATCCATGCTCTTGGACACTGTGCTTGCAGACACCTTGCCCCCCATCATAGCAGGCCAGTGATGATGATCAATAACCTTGGCATGTGGATTCTCCGATTGCTCAGGAGTTGCTCTCCCTCTCAATGGGCTCCTCTTCCTATCAGCTGGTGCTGCATCCCTCGTCTTGGCCTGATCTGTAGAAGAGCTATTGGAAATCCTTTTCCCCTTTGATTCGGGCTGGAAAGAAGAAGACAGACTCCGCATTGAAGGCCACGGCGGCAGCAGCCAGGCAGCCCACGCACCTGCCTGCCCACTCAAGGGCAATACGGTCCTCCCATGGCAAAATACATGTATTTGAAATGAGAAAAATGATTAAAAAGACCAAATGTCATGTAAAACAAAATGCTAACATTTCAAATGTCGTTTTAGCAAAGTTGACGATTGAAATCCTATAATAATGAAGCACATTGTTTCGCGTCTATAATAGCAATTTTCTCTGTTGCACACGGTTGCCGGTTGGGTTGGGCGATTGCATCGTCGCTGTGGTGTACCGTGTCCCCGTGTGTACACATGCTGTTGCCAACGATCGACATCGATCGAAACCTCAGAAGCGCTGTGGTTGGAGCTGAGTAAGTACGTACGGTACGGCTGACCATTTTCTTTTATCTTTTTGTGTTGGACTTGGGAGATCGCGTGGGTAAGGCGGATAGCGTTGCAGCAGCTGGCGTATTCTGGTACGGCTGCTCCATCTATGGGCCTGTTTAGTTCCCCCAATTTTCAGAATTTTACGGCTGCTCCATCTATCTTAAAGCTAAATCAAAAAAAGGCAAAATTTCTGAACGTTTTGAGCCTAATTAATCAACGTTTTTTCTACAAGTAGCTCTACCGTGGCTCTCTCTCTCGACGGCGCCCCGAACTAAAACGAGGGCTATAGCTGTTTGCAAAATTTCTGCCGCGTTTTTTTTCTACCTCTCTTTTCCCGTATCCGTGTTTGTTTCTTCATTCTCGTACGGTTCGGAAGTAAGGGCGCGTTTAGTTCAATTTTTTTTTTTGGTTTTTGTCAATCACATCATTTTTTTTGGACGCATGCATGGAGCATTAAATATAGACGAAAAAAAACTAATTGTACAATTGGGTGAGAAATCGCGAGACGAAACTTTCAAACCTAATTAGTCCATAATTAAACACTAATTGCCAAATAAAAATGAAAATACTACAGTAGCCAAACCCAAAAATTTTCGCGAACTAAACTTGCCCTAAGTTCGAGCACCCACACAAAAAGTCCCAACGAGGCAACGAGCACCCACACACATGGAAAAAACGCTAAAAATTGAAGCGAGCACCCACGTACATGTGAGAAAACGATAAAAAGCTAAAAATAAAAGCCACATGTGAGGGACCGATTCACATATCCAATCTCCATCTCCATCAATAGAATAGCAAGTGCATACCACCGAATCATCGCCCTGTTTGTTTGGGCTTGTTTGACTGATAAGCCATGACTGAAAGTACTATGGTTGATTTGGTGTAAGAGAAAAATATTGTTCGTTGGCTGAAAAAGTACGGCTTATAAGCCAAACAAACATAAACAAACAAGACGCATATGTTTTATGTGATGTATAACAAAATCTTTTCTATTTATTTAATCAGTAGTTAACACCTTATAGCTCCTAGTACCAGAAAACAAAAGTATAAAAATATATAATGCCCAGGTTAGCTAGAAAAATTCGCATCCGTGCATGGTATAGAGTCTGATCTGATCCAAAATGAAATGAATGATGAATTCGTGCACCGCGTGGAGTCTAATTCTAAGGTAAAACATGTCCATACAAATTAGATTAGTGTCATCATGCGGTATTCAGGCTGTTCGTTTGTTGGTTTCAGCCAGAACTTATCAGTCATAGTATAGTATTTTTCTCTCACAATAAACCAGCACCAGCCGAGCTTATCAGCCCAGAAATCAACCAACGAACAGGCTGATTGAATCATATTCCATAAATGAATTAGAATTAGAATAGATGACACCAGCCACCTCCCTCTAGCTACCCGATAGTGGAAAGTTTCTTCCGTGTCACTTACACCCTTCGTATCTTATACGTGATCCAGACTCATTTGACCCATACTCATATTACCGTGCTCATACGAGTTAGAAAAACTTGCGTCCATTGACGATGCATACGAAGTCGCATTCGAAGACATCTTATATGTAACTCAGATTCATGAGCCGTGTTCATATGAGTTATTAGAACAACTTGCGTCTATCGATGATACATAGTTCGATTCTAATGGCCACGTTCGCTGGTCTAAATTTTGGCTGAAACTGGCTGAAAAACACTGTTCCGGCTAAATTGTTGTGAGAGAAAAACACTGTTCCGGCTGAAAAAATAAGCCAAACAAGCCAAATTTAAGACAAGCGAACGAGGCAATGTATTGGGTTCTACGTTGCAACGTACGGGCACGTTTGCTAGTACATACATATTGACCATGTTCTGTGACACTACTTTTCAGTGAACAAACATTATTTTCCTCTGACAATAAATCAACGTAAGTCAAATTTCTAACTAAACGAGCAGAGCCATTATCTACGGTGTTTATTGTTGTGCCCGCGCTATTTCCAACTGTCCCGCCTCTAAACTAATCTGCACGCCGTGTACGCGGAGACAACTGGAAACCGACTCCCTGTAGTACCCTACACGTTTCTTTGCTCCCACGATTTTTATTATCAGCGCGTGTTTAGTTTGAAGCCAAAATCTTAAAAAGTGCTACAGTACCTGTCATATCGAATGTTTGTGGCCCATGCATGGAGCATTAAATATAGACGAAAAAAAACTAATTACACAGATTGATGGGAAATTGCGAGACGAACGTTTTGAGCCTAATTAATTTATGTTTGAACACTATTTGCTAAATAAAAATAAACGTGCTACAGTAGCCCCAAATTCCAACTTCCTACAACTAAACACAGCCTCAACTTCCCATGATCAGGGAATACAATACATATACATCATCAGTCCCCGTGCATGAGAAGCACGGATCATTCAGAGCAAGGATCTTTGTAGTTTTCTCTTAGCTCACCTATATATACCCTGTTCGTTTGATCATTTTTATGATTTATAAATCGGCTGATGTTGTTTTATTATGAGAGAAAAACACTGTATCATGACTGATAAGCATGGCTGATATGATCAAGCGAACAGAGATATAGTAGTTAGCTCTTCATTATTAAACCTGGGCCACTTATCTCTCTCACAAAGTTTATTGGTTCTTATGTCTAAGCCGGCTATAAACTTACGGCCGACGTCTCTTCTCTCTCCTCTCATCTCTCGTTCACCTCAGCATTCAGAACAAGAAGGATCCACAAATCGGACTAATCCCTCATATGTTGTTCATATATATATATATGTATCCATCTCAATCCACATATGTTAAAGTGGAATAAAATCTAATTTAGTTCAATTTCATCTCAATCTACTTCAGTCCATGCGAATTTAGATATACGTACGTATCCCACCTAGACCTCAGCAACGCCGTGCTACCGCGTTGGAGCCAGTCGATGAGTACTAGGAATATACACTCCTAGTCTTCCTACAGCAACCGATGATGCTGATCGGTAGCTCTAGGCTCTAGCAGGTTACCACTGTTAGCAACTAACCTTCAGCCCGTCCGGCTGGGCTGGCTGGCTGGCGCTGGCTGGCTAGCGGTACTGTTCACATGGAAAGTGTTAAAAAAACCAGCCAGCGGTACTTTCTCACAAACAAGCCAACAATTCCGAACAGACTGTTTACCATTGACGAAGCACTTCCAATTAAACTCCCAATACTTATGTACTCGACAAGAAAACAGCATATATATGTACTCGATCCAGTAGAGCGCTACTTTACCTTGCCAATTAAAACAAATCTGTCTTCTACAGTTTTGATTTGGATTTGAATCCGTACTGCACGGCTGTGGCCGTCTTTGTAGCAGTAGCACGGGTGTTGCACGGATCAGCTGCTTCGCTCATCGCAGCGCTGCCACTGCCATTCCGCGCCGCGCAAGACAGACACGGGTACCGTGCCCACAACACAACGTACTCGCGGAATCCACTCGGAAGGACGGAATTGACCATGCGTGGCTTCCCCTCCCGCAGCATGAATGCCTCCGGGCACCGGCCCCACGCCTTCAGCCACGGGAGCCGCCCCGGGCCCCGCCCCGGCCGTCGGCCTCGCCTCCCTTCCCAGTTTCCACAATCCAATCTCCTCCCCCACTGCGGCACGGCACTGCCTCTCTATCTCTTGCTATCCCGGTCATCAGTGCAGGCGTCCATGGACCCTCCTCCCGCGAAGGCAGAGGCGGCGGCGGCGCGGTCGACGCTGCTGGACGTGCAGGAGGTGGAGTGGATCACGCGGGAGCTGGAGCGGCTGCTGGCGAAGGAGCAGAGCGGCGACGGCGTTGGCGACGCTGGCGCGGCCGGGCGACACCGGCGGAAGAGGGCCAGGCTCAGCCCCGCCCCCGCGGCACACAAGGGGGGCTTCCTGGCCGACCTTCTGGGGAGGCATGCCGTCTCCATATGCAGCGGGGACACCGTGGACCACAGCACCGCCGCCGCCGCGGACAGAGGGCGCCGGCGAGGCGGCCGGGGCGGCTTCCGCGAGGTGGAGAAGGTGTAAATCATCGTTAGCGACTTTTTAGCATCGTGTTGGCAGTTGGCACGGAGGCGTAAGTCTCGTTCTTCTGTAATCATCACATCAAATTGCTCCTCCGGTGAACTCACCCTTCTGTAAATTGTCCCGTGTTACCGCGCGGTTAATGGGTTTGTAATGGCTAATGATAGTGCTTACAGAAAATTACGCTACTGCTTATAATAGATGTAGTGGTATATACTACGTAGTTCTATACTTCAAGCAGCTTGGTATCTGTAATTTGGTTTCCATCCCAAGAAAGTTCAGACTACCACTGGCACTGTACCTTTGCTGGCTGAATGATGCACAATGGCAGCCGTAGGCAGTAGCAGAGATCATTGTGAACTTGTCGCATTCAAATTCAAAGTTGCAGCTCTTCCACGAGCAACTAATGGCTGCCATGTTCCCCAGCAACAAGTTTTAGTGCTGCAGTTAAGATGCCACTTGTGAATTCTGATCAATGTTAGTACGTACTAGTACTAGTATCACGTTAACAATGAGAGATTGATCTGAAATCTACAAACGTGCTACGCTACGCTTCTCAGTTCTCACCTACAAATAGCACGGAGAGAACCTCCTGACAGGCTGACACGAATAATCGCAAAAAAAAAAAAAAAAGGACAGGCTGACACGAACACCAACTCTCTGTACTCTGGACCATTGGTGTCCAGTGGTTCACTGGTTTGGGCTTGCCAGCTACAGCCCGAACTGCATTAGGTCCAGCCCAATCGCGGCATGCTCCGCCGTCATCGACCCGTTCAGCTGGTTGAACCCGGCCCAAAACAACCAGAAGCCAAGCCTTGGAATTGGAAGCGTAGAGAAGCGAGACCCGTGGGAGTGGAGCTGGCAGCCGAAGGGACCCCAGACCCCGAGAGAGAGACCGAGCTAGGTGTGGTGACCCAAATGGAGGCGGCCGCCACGTCGCCGTCGCCGGAGCAGCCGCTGCTCCGGCCCCCATCCCCGCCGCCGAATCCCCGCGCCGACGCCAGCTCCGGCAACCCGGCTTCGCCTTCTCCCTCCGCGGCGAGGCCGAGCCGCCTCGCGGCGCTCATCGGGCGCGCGGCGGGGCGGCGCGGGCCCTCGATGTTGGTGCGCGAGACGGCGGCGCTGCAGCTGCAGCGGAGGCGCGCGGACTGGGCGCACTCCCGCCCCGTCGTCGCGCTCGACATCGCCTGGAACGTCGCCTTCGCCGCCGCCGCGGCCGCCGTGCTCGCTTCCTCCGCCGAGGAGAGCCCCGTCAAGCCGCTCCGCCTGTGGCTCGTCGGGTACGCCGCCCAGTGCCTGGTGCACGTCGGGCTTGTCTGCGCCGACACCCGCCGCGAGACGCGGCGCGCCCGGGGCTCGGCCTCCGACGTCGAGTCTGCCGGCGCAGGGACGGACAGCTCGGACGCCGACAGCGAAGATGACGAAAGGGCGGAAGGGAGGAGCAGGTGGGGCACGATCTGAACCTCAGCCTCTTATGTTCTGTGATGTGCTGGGATTAGGATTAGGGTTTATGCAATGGACTCGAAACCATGCTTCCTTATGTGCCATGTGTGTGTATGTGTTGACTTTTTAACTGTTCTTCGTTATTTGGCTAACTCACAGCCGTACAAGTCGTTGCGAGACGATGAACACGTTGATATCATTTCTGTGGTGGATCATTGGATTCTACTGGCTAGTGTCAGGCGGGGAGGTGCTCGAGTACGGCGCTCCAAGGCTGTATTGGTACGCTACGTTCATTTTGCTTGCATCTTGATTCTCCAATGACAACATGCAATTAGTTTGGTTGATTATACCAAGGTTTGAATGAAAATGTCATACTGGATGTTGATTAGAATACGTGAAGTGCAATATACTCCCTCCGTTTATTTATCTCCGTCGCTTGAGGCTTTTTCTTTTTTTTTTTCCATTAGTCTCTGTCGTATTAGCTTCTTTTCCCGGTTTTCTCGGTAGCATGGGCGTGCGACACCTCGTTTCATCTGTGGAGTCATTACTACACCGCTCCTTCCGTTAGCTCTTATACATATCTGACATTTCCTCCGTTAGCCCCCTCCGTGACCGCGACACCGCGCCATCGAGTCCCCAAGCCATCGCCGAGCCTCAGCGCCATAGTGGCCTCTTGAGCCATGGATGGCCAGGTCGGCCCAGTCGACGAGAAGATCGTTCTTGGTGTGAACTGGGTGCCGGATTCATGCGGCGACGAAGAAGAGGATCAGCAGGAATCACCCGTGGTAGAGAAGCTTGTTTGTGGTGTGAACTGTTCGCTGGATTCATGCGATGAAGAAGAAGAGGATGTCCAGGAGAAGCTTGTTCATGCAATAAAGAAGATGATCACCACTGCCGAAGGAGATGATCCTGACATCATTCATGCTCTAATGCAACTTGCATCAACTGAGGTAACCAAGTTTCAATCAGACAAGGAAAGAGAAGATTGCGCTAGTAACGTCGTTTGGAGCGCGGTTAGCGGCAGATTCATCGGTACATCAATCGACGCCAGCGCAATTAAAACAAAAGTCCGGATTTGTTGTCAATTATGACTCCTTGATCGCGATATTGGTCACCGTGCCCGAGCCAAATACGATGGAGATAAATGAACAGAGGGAGTATATCTTATGAAAGGTCTAAAAGCCGTTAAATATGTATCTATGAGCTGCTTTGTTTCCATTTCAAATACTTTTCAGTCAATACATGCATCTTTATTTTCCCATAATTATGATGTGAGCTGTTCTGCTTCTCATCCTAAGTTCCTAACTACCTGCTTGGCAATTCATTCTGCAGGTTAACCATTGTGTTTCTGGCCTTTGATGTGTTTTTCTCTGTGTTTTGTGTTGCTGTGGCCTGTTTCATTGGGATTGCACTGTGTTGCTGCTTGCCTTGTGTCATTGCTATCCTGTATGCTCTGGCTGACCAGGTAAGATCAATGAACTCCGATCTCAAGAAAAGAAGTTGTATCTGTACTGTTTCCATATGTTATCACAGAGTCCTTAGTTCCTTTCATATTAAATATGTAGCATTTCATATTAAATTTGTAGGAGGGTGCATCAGATGCAGATATTAGTGTTCTTCCGAGATATAGATATTCTGATCCAAGTGAGGATGGTGAGAAGGGGAGTGATGAAGGACTGATGATCCCTATCCTGAATAATAGTGGAATGTCAACAAGTGAGCGTATTATCCTTCGTGAGGATGCTGTAAGAACTTTTGTTCCATGCTATGTTATGATCTTTCTATGCTTATTAAGGCACATCCAAAAAATTTCCAAAAAGGAGCATGGTGTTTATGTTGGCATTTTGTAAGGCATCAGTGCGCTGTAAATTTTGCTTACCCTTTGTCCATATTGGCATGCCAGAACAAAATTTTCAACAATACGTTTTTTTGGCTAATTCTTCAGTTGACAAACAGATTGAACAATGCTTATGTTTTTCGGCGTTTCTCTTGTACTTTGCTGACAGATCCTTTGTTCCTTCAGGAATGTTGTGTCTGTCTCTCATCATACGAAGATGGAGCTGAGTTATCTGCTCTCCCCTGCAACCATCACTTCCACTGGACTTGTATTACCAAATGGCTGCGCATGAATGCGACATGTCCACTCTGCAAGTATAACATTCTCAAAGGCAGTGACAGTGCATGACCAACTTATGCTGACATAACTTACGCACACAGCCTGTGCTCATCATCTTCTTTCAAGTGACATTCTCAAAGCAATGCAATGTCTTCGTGATTCTGATCTGGTTGTATGCTGTTTTAACAGCTGTGTTTTTAAGTGACAGTGATGTGTGTTTTCCTGTTTAGGATGTGGTGATAACCTGTAAATGGATGAAACCTAACTTACAGTTGCGCTTGCTAATATTGCTTGTAAATATCTTTGGAGGAGTTGTTTTCTGCGTATGATGGAATTGGAATTGGTGAAGTACTTTGTGATTCTGATCTGGTTGTATGCTGTTTTAACAGCTGTGTTTTTTAAGTGACAGTGATGTGTGTTCTCCTGTTTAGGATGCGGTGGCAGCCTATGGATGAAACCTAACTTACAGTTGCCCTTGGCCCCTTGCTAATATCGCTTATAAATATCTTTAGAGTTATTTTCTGCGTATGATGGAATTGGAATTGGTGAATACTTTGTGATAGGTTCACTGATCGCAAACTTATTTATGAGCAGCTGGACATTGTAATATTGAGAATGATGCAGCGCTTGCGAAACTCCTTCGCTTTGTTCTCTGCCCTAGATATAGGGACATTGCTGATGAATTCAGACAATATAAAATCATGATGCTGCTCATGTCCATCAGGCAGCATCCTGTACAATTAAATTTCCATTTCATATCGACGATGAGATTACTTCTGCTACAATATGGTTATTCTATTCTGGTTAGCAACTGCAGGATCTCATGCAGTATCATTCAGGGACAAAAAGAGAACTATTAACAGGTTCGGATGTTACCACAACCTTTGATTTGATAAATATTTTAGAACTAATGAATTGAGAAGCTGAAGATGATGCCTTATCTCTTAGAAACACCTGTAAACCAGTATGAACACACAACTTAAAAAAAAGTATTGGTGAAAATATACTTTTCTTTCCTCATGCCTTTGTCGCTGAAGATGATGCCTTATCTCTTAGAACAGTTACAAGACAACATACAAGTCACTGATGTTAGTGATAAAAAATACACTAAAACCTACTAATTCTTGCTTACACCCAACAGAGTATCTGCATCGAAGATGTCTATCCACAGTATCTCGCATATTCAGACTCTAGTGCATAATGAGCCATTCTATATTGTCCTCAGATCAAGTAGTCGTCTCCATAAACCTTGAAAAATGCTTCATACACATGAGAATTCCTCTCTCTGATCAAAGTGCAAACATTGTGAGCATCCCGCCATCGTTTACACTTGAAGTACATATGAACAAGCAAAGTCTGTAATACAACATTCATTTCAGAACCTGTCTTGATTAGACGAGCATGTATCTGCCTTCCATAACGCAGAAGCCCTTTGAACCGGCACAGGTTTAGAAGACCCGCCAAAGTGTAATGGTCAGGCCTAACACATGCCAGCTCCATCTGACGGTAAATGTTTATCGTGGCAACAGGCTGTCCATCCCCCACGTAACCTGAAAGCAATGTGTTCCATGATATCAAGTTCCGCTCATTCATCCTGAGAAACAGTAACCGAGAAACTTCAATACACCCACACTTTGCGTACATATCGATAAGCTCAGTTTCCAGTACTACATTCATCTGGTTTATGACCCTTATGGCATGGCCATGAATTTGCCTTCCATATTCTCTGTACCTTCTATCACTACAGAGCCTCAGAAGGTTCGTGAAGGTATGTTGGTTAGACTTTATATTTGCAGACTCCATTTGTCTAAAAGTGTCAAGTGCTGAATCAACTAGCCCATTTTCAACGAACCCAGACAAGAGTGCATCCCATGAAACATAATTCCTCTCATCCATCCTGTCAAATACCAATCGAGCAAGATCCATGTAGCCGCATTTACCATACATGTCAACAAGTGCACTGCCCCGGATGACATCAGTATCTAACGCCCTTCTAATCAAATAGCCATGAAATGCACGACCACTGTCTATGTCAGCCAAGTGGGCACATGCTGCAACTCCGCTGCCAAGAGTGAAACGATCAATAGCGAAACCAGACTCCTGCATCTGAACGATCATTTCTAGCGCCTCTTCACAAAATCCAAGACGAACATAGCTTGAGATGATCGTATTCCAACTCACTTGATCCCTGCTGATCGTTGTGTCAAACACCCTCTTGCAACTCTCCATGCTGCCACATTTTCCATATATGTCAATGAGGCAGTTCCACACGGTGGCATTCCTTTCAAATCCGAGGACAACTGCCATCGTGTGCATCTGCTTCCCTCGGACCAGGCAGCCCAATGCACCGCATGCCTGAATTGCCATGACAAGAACAGAAACATTCGGAAGCAAGCCCGAACACTGCATCGCCGAGAATGCATCCCAGGCTTTGTCCCACTGAGAAGAACGGGCATAGCCGCCAATGATCACACTCCAAGAGACCGCATTGGGCTGTCTTATATCACTAAACACCTTACTAGCATCATCTACCAAGCCAAGATCAATATACGCAGCAGCCAACGCAGTGCCGACGACCACATGCTGACACAACGAGCAGTTGATGACCAGGCCGTGCACGGCTCGGAGCATCCTGATGTCCCATAGGGCGGCGCAAGCTCTGAACACACTCGGGAGCACAAACCTGCTCACCGGGACCCCCTCCCTCCGCATACTGCGAAAGAGTTCGATGACCTCCCCATGTCGACCAGCGTGCGCCAGCGCCACGAAGGCCGCGCTCTCGCTCTTCCTGCCGCCCTCATGAGGATCACGTCCGCTTGCTCTCTGTCCGCCCGTCCGAAGCCTTTCGTCCAACAGGTTACCTGCGCTCGAAATCTTCATGGTGCTCCTCTCAGGCATTCCGTCCAACAGGTTAGGTGGGTTCACTGGGCCGGGGTTCTGGGTGGTTCTTGTGATGGGCAGCGTGATGAGTTCTCGCTGCAAGGTAGACGCGGAGGCGGCGATGCACCGGAGAAGGTGGCGGCGCCGGTAACGGCGCCGGCGGCCAAGGTCCCATTCGAGGCGGGTGGGTTGATGGGAGGCGGGATTGGGATCGGCGCGAGGGGCAGGGAGCCCCGGAGGATAAGGGCGCACGAGACAAGTGGCCATATCCTGTTGCTGTTTGGCTAAGAGCAGCACGAAGCGAGCGAGTCCCGACTACAAGTAGCGTGCTCGCTCAGCTCCAAATTAGTATTTACTATATCAAATTAGTATTACTAGATATTATAAAATATATTTATTTGATATCGTTAGTATAGTTTTTTTTACAAAATTTGTTAAACTTAAGATAATTTGAATTAGGCCTTGTTTGGTGTTGCTCTGGTTTCGGCTCTAGCACTAGTGAAGAGCTACGGCTGCACCAAATGGACGAGGGGGAGGAGCGCTTTTGGCAATGGAGGAAGATGAGTCGAATAGTAGTGTTTGGAGGCGAAGCCACGATTTAGGTGCTTTATACTCTGGCTACGGCTTCTGCGATATCGAAACCGAAGTCGGAGTGACGCCAAATACGGCCTTAGAGTTATTTTAGAAATTGATTTATTTTAAAACAGAGGGAGTACTACGTTATCTTATTTTCTTTTTTTATTTGTTGTTGTTTTTTGTTTTTGTTGTTGATGGTGGTGCTGTTGATTAAAGAGATATATGGAGGGAATAAATCATCAAGTCAAATGTGGTATTTTTGCCAGTATTAGTTAATCAAATGGCCATTTGCAATTATGCACTAACTTTTATCTCTACCCGTACGTTTGCCGCCTTTTCTTTCTATCAAAAGTAGCAAAAGGGCAACAATGTGTTGACTTGACCCGGGAGCAAAGTTGAAAAAGGAGCAAAGATCGTGTAGAGGTTAAACTGAATGCAGCATCTTTGTAATTATCCTTTAGTCAAATTATGGGTATTCTATGTATAAAGGTTAGACAACAACTCTGTACATTTATAATTCAAACTACTTCGGTAGATGTCTAGATATAAACTACTACTCACAGCGTGTTTACGACAGGACAAATGAACTAGGTTTAGATCATTTTTCTTGTCCTATACATCAAGTAATCTTCGCTTGAGAGAGTACACATTTTCTGTGAAAACAGTGGTTACAGTCTATTTTGTTTTTAGCATGCACTGTACACTCAGTAAACTCCTGTCTTTTTTATATGCCCTGAATAATTTCGTTTCCTAAGTATGCCTTTTTTACATTCTATTTTTGTTTAAAGGGGAAAATTATATGGCACAACGTATAGCCAATTCACAAGCGGCAACAGTTTCACGCACGCTCAGTACACAGATAACATGGTCATAACACTTGCACATTCCAGTAGGTGCAGCTCTTCATTCTTCTTAGATAATATACACGAGAAAGGTCTACATGCAGTTCCTCACCAGACCTAAAAGCCCAAAACAGCTAGACCAAATATATAGATGAACCATCTGTACTCTCCCAATTGCCTCTTCTCATTGCAAGAGTAGCTACTGTTACACCTTCCTACAGGGCATAGATCCTCTTCTCATTATCAGAGAAGGCTTCAAGATCTGAAAAACCATCATGGAGTGACCAGGAGAAGGACTTGCTGCCGCTTGCCCTCTTGATGCGGCGCTGTCTGTCTTCGCCGAACTTGAACCGTGGGCGCAACAGCAGATAGGCTAGGAAAAGGAGGGTTCCAATCATGATCGGCCCTCCGATGGCTGATACTGTGAAGGCCATCCAGGCATGCTGCGGGCCAACTACAACATAGGCCAGCGAGATAAAAGCCGCACCTGTGCTAAGGCATGCCGTCCACATGAGCTTATTTACAATCTTGATAATTTGCTTCTGGGCACCAGTTTCCCAGGCAACCAAGGTGATCTGCACAACGACCACCGCGAGGGAAATGAAGAGAGCAGTGGCATTCAGAAGGCAGAAGAGACGAAAACCAGTAAGCTTGGCTATGTGAGCCTCACCAATGTCCCCCCCACTATTCACATCTTGGAAGTATTGACCTGGCAAATTGAATATGGCAACGAAGGCAATGGAGGCAATCAGGGTTGCTACCATGGTGACTGAATTGATGGTGTTCTGAATAGCTTCTCTATGCAGTTTCTGCAATTCTTTGCGAATCCCAGTCACTCGTTTATTGGTCTTAGCATTCTCGCTAAGCTGTGCCTGAACATTGTGCTTGATATCACTCACAGTTCTCCTCAGTTCTGATGCTTCATCAATTTTCCCCACATTTCTGGCATTCTTTGCACCAGCCTCTGTCAGCCACTCTATTATTTCCGTTTTAGACTCACCATAAGGAACTTTGTCAGCCAAATCCATAGCTGTTTCATTTTGACTATTGATAGCATTGACTTCAAGTGTTTCATAGCTAAGAAGAAGCTGTACCATCTGAAAACAATAGTGACCATCAAGGTAAAATAAACTTGGCAAGTCAAAGCAAAAGCATGCTTGGAATCAAGTATGAACAATTCCCACAAATAATATAATCATATGTTCAGAGTTTGAGTAAGGTAACTTAGAACGCTAATTTATGTCTCATCATTATATTATACGGAGTATTTAGTCTAGCTTCCATAAAGAGTTAAAACTTAAATACTCCATTAAATAGAAAAGCAACCCATCATTCTGCGAGTTTGTGGATGCCTATTTCGGGTCTTCCTTTAATACTCAAGGTTCATTTTTATAATATTTTAAGGCCTACATGGAGTGGGCTGGACTGCTAGAATAGTGTGTCGAGAAGTCACTAAACTTCCACTATAGTGATACCATAATATTAGCATCCAGATACATTCCTGCGCCTTTGCAATGACTTAGTAAGACTAGTGGCAGACAGTTAACAGCAGCAGCAACTAATGTCTTTATAGTGCTCAATATAAGATGGTTATGCATTCTTAGATATATGGTTGCACTTTCTATAGATGCTCTGCTCCACTAAGAAACCACCATTGCTTATGTACGACATGTTTTTCACATTGAGAAATTTTGAAGAAAAAAAAGTACTACTGCAAAATTTGAACAAAACTTGAAAAAAAAATACTATTGTTGGATCCTCAAAATCGAGTTTCTGGCTCCACCCCTAAAAACTGAGCATGGCATTCTAAAGGCTCTTAATTCATATATTACTCAATAAAAATATTATGCTTACATTTGGTATGTTGTGTTTAACAGATGCATAATATGATTGATCTCGGGTTACCCTCTGCATATCTCCATGTACTGGTATCCTCTCAAAGATATAAACAGATCAGAAGTCCTATCACCCAGCATGCACATCATGTTAATAGTCCTGATCTTCAAATGCTTATTTAAAATTAATGTGTGCACCTCATCTCATACCAGTCTTAGGCTCTAAATATTCACAACAAGATATAACCTTTGAAGTTTTTACATTAATGCTGCCACAAACTCTACCGATAAGAATTGGAGTTGCAACTTGCAACTAGACAGTATACTCTATACTGTACACGCCAACGAGCAAACAACAGCGTGGTGATGAAGTAGCAGCTCAAGGGGGGCAAACTTTCCAAAAGTGAGGGCAAACAAATAACAAATTGGTTACACACTAAAACCACGCCTTACAGATATAACAGTGCTATAGCTCTCAATGCAGGTTATAGTCAGCTAAAACTAAAATAGCAAACTACTTGTAGAAGACCCTTGGAAAGAACCATACCTGGGGCCTCCATTTCCGTGTAGCTATGTGCAAGGCAGTATTTCCTTTCTTGTCGCGCACATTGAGAATGGAAACATCAGCCATCAGTAACTCTTCCACTACATCTGTATTTTTGCCCTTCACAGCCATGTGAAGCGCAGTTTGTCCCTTCCTATCCTTGATCGGAACGATTCCTGGATCCCTCTCAATGAGTGCTTTGACAATACGATGGTATCCAATTCTTGCAGCAGTATGTAGGGATGTCTTCCCATTTTTCCGCACAATCCTTATGCAGCTATCATCAGTGTCCAGTATAGCATTTACCACATCCAAGTGATCCTTGACAGCAGCGGAGTAGAGAGGACTAGTGTTGGAAGAGTCACAAACTGAGCAAAGCCCGGGCCACCGCCCCAAGAACTCTTTCACAACCCCTGTTACCAATTTTCAGATCACCTATAAGTTACTTTGATCAAGGATAGGGGAAAAAGAACAGACTGGCTACATTTCATATGATACTGCTCATGATACATGAAAATACAATGCATCATTGACTTGTGTAACTCGGGATGCATATACTATGAAGATTTGAATAGTATTAAGTTTCATATTAAATTATCAGTACTAGCCTATGCAGCATAGTTAGCATTTTATCATGACAACAACATGTATTACTATACTATCAGTCTATTTACCACGAGGGAAGTGCATAGGATTTCTTGCTATTGCTAAAGTGTTACGGTAGCAGCCTCATCAGCAGTGAATTTGAAGTACTAGCTGACAGTGAATCAGCTTAAAACAGCCAGAAACCGTTGAACTGTCAGTAGATTGGGGATCACCCGCAAAAAATTCTACTTCCCCTTTGTCAATGGAAGTGCAGAACATGAAAATTTCCATCTACAGCCCGCCCAATCACTGCCAACAGCTTGAACTTCGAAGCTCCGGATGTCAAATCCCAGCCAAGACCAGATGAATGGTGCAAAGGGTCAAGCCTATCAAGTATCACCTATTCACCTGAAGACAGCAAAGAGTCCTACCAGTCCCGCACTCCCGCCCATAGAAGGCAAATGAATCCCCGCTGATGACCTATAGTATATAGATATATATATATATACTCCCAACTGTTCGACTACACCCTGGCCTTCTTCAATCCGCTCCCACAACACCAACAGAAGGGGAGCTCACCGGTGTGGCCCTGCTTGGCGGCGACATGGAAGGCGTCGAGGTCGAGGCGTGAGCGGACGGTGGCGGCCTCGAAGTCGTAGAGCGGGAGGAGGAGGCGCACGACCTCCTCGCTGCCGGCCTCCGCGGCGACGTACAGCGCGGTCTCCCTGGCGTCCGTCTGCGCGGCGGCGAGCGCGGCCAGGGAGGTGCCCGACGCCTCGGCGTCGGCCAGGAGCGCGCGGACCGCGGCCGCGTCGGCGGATCGGACGGCGGCGAAGAGCGCCTGGTGGGAGAGCGGCGGGAGATCCATCGGGGGTTCGCCTCCGGCTCCGGCTCCGGCGCCGCGTGGGCGTGGTGGGCGACTGGTGGCGTTGCCGCCGCTGTCACTCCACTGCCTGATTGATTGGTGCGGTGCGGTAAAGGTCTAGTGCACCTGGCGGTGGTGGTGTGGACTCGGTTTGCTTTCCTGGGCACTGAGGTTGCTTTGCTATTCGGCTTATATTCCTTTCTCCGCAGAATATCAGCGAATGGGCGAGAAAGCGTAAGGGGCGGCACGCGGCAGGGACCAACAGGAAGAGAAAGATCGACGCGATCACCCGGACGGGACGGGCACCCGATGCGTTCCATTCCATGCGCATTATTCGCAGTTTCGCACTCGCGCCTCGGTTTGTTGCAGCGAGACTGCGAGAACGTAGAGAAAATTTTGTATTTGGCCCTAAAAATAATGCTCTTTTCTTATTTGATATCGAAACTAAAAATCTTTCCTATATGTCCTGAACTCGAGTTTTTTTTTTCTATTTAACACTTCCGTCAGTTTGGGTTGTTAACGGTGTAAGTCCTAAATGAAAAATCCGTTTTACCTATAGAGTTTTTTACTAGTCTTGGCATTCCATGGTTAATATTGCTATCTTTTATAAATGTTTTTATCTTAAATTGTAATGTTTCAGTTTTTGCTTGTGTTAAATAAATAAAGGATCAAACATCATCTTATATAATTACGTATAATTATATTCAGTTTGAAATTAATTATTTAGATACATGAATGACAACAATAAAATAGGCCTCCAACAACATCCAATTTGAAAATGGCATGCAGCAGAACAATATCACATTTATTTTAGAAAACTCACATGTTCAAGATAAATGCAATATTTAGCATCCATGATCACAATAATAGTCGAGATACATTCAGGTTCACATGCACAGAAACATTTTCACAGGATTGCATCCATTACAGACATCTAACACAATACACATTTAGAAAATTTTCTCATACAAGAATCACAAACTCAGCCTTCTTTTGCTTCTTGTGCTCAGTGCCGGACTACTAGGCTGAAGTCTTTTGCTCCTCGTGCCCATTGCAGGGCTATCAAGCTGCGACAAAAGATTCTTTGCAGCATTTTTATCTACTTCTTTCTTCCCCTTTTGCCTTTTAACTTGACAACAACAGCTTGTGGTTTGTCTTTGGATGAGGGAAGCTCAATTGAAAGTGGTTCAGGTTGATTTGAACCACTTCTGGACCTATACATGTTCATGTGTATGAAAACATTATTTGAGATATATTTGATATACATTTCGGTAATAAAGAACTTATAAATATATTGGATATACATTTCATATAGAAGGGGCTAGAAAATGCAAGCATATAAAGTTGACCATGGGAATTTACTGTTAGATAGAACTGCTTGCAAAATCAATAAACTAACCATGCAAAATAAATTCAGATTTAGTATAGGCTATCTTTTTGATGCTCCAGAGTTAGAGGAAGCCTGCTTTCCCTTTTTTCTACTTGTAATCTCTAAGCTTATACTACAAAAAAGAAGAGAGTTTGGTACTTAGAAGTCACCATTAGCTTTCTATTAGTAGAATATTTATTCAAGTTTTTATTAATTACCTTTCTGTTGGTCTAGAATTAGAGGCAGCACCCTTTCTCTTCTTACTAGCTGTGGGTTCAGGTTCCAAGTTTTGACTACAGTAATATTGAAAGTAGAGACACCATGAATTGGAATCTAAATACAGAAAGTGGAAATTGAGCTAACCTTGATAGAAAAGTCATAGAACGTGTTGGTGCTTCATCCTCCATTGGTACAATGGAACTCTCTGTTGATTTGGTAACCTTGTTCCTCTTTTTCGGTGTTCCTCTACATAAGCAAATAGATAGTAAAGAATATGATCTAATTAAAAAAAATATGCATAGAAGATGAAATGTACCTAAGAGTTTTCATTGCTTCAATATCTTCTTTCTTTGCCCTTCCCGCAGATTGTGCCGTTGATGCCCATATTTCTTATAGATAGGACATTGGTGCTGCCCTTTTTACCCTTCTTGTCACTACGGCCTTTGTGTCTCTCGGTTTTATGCCTACCATTCTGAGACATTAGTAGTGGTCCATACATGAAGAAGCCATGGGTAGATTTAGGCCTTTGTGTTTTGTCAGAATAGCGAGGATTAATGCACTATAGGCTCCTCTAAATTTCTCAATGGAGTAGTAGAAGTCAACATATTTGTCAATAGGTGCATTAGGTAGTGTTTGTAATGAATGCAAGGGCATGTTTGCAAGGAATGCAGAGACTTGCCATTGTCTGCGCAAGAACATGTTCGATCAACCAAGTTCACCACAAACCTAAAGCCGCCGCCACCAAATAAGGTAATTTCAGCCACACCTCTTCCGAGCATTACGATACATCCAAGTTTAATTTCTACTACTGTTCATTTAGCTTCTTAATTATGTGGGGAAGAATGAAGCCATCTAATTTCTTTCCAATTTTTCTCCTTTGGTTCCACTTGATTATAATTAATTGTGCGATCTTATCCATCAAATCATCCAAATTCATGGACTTGTCTTTGCTTAATCCAATTGTTGAAGCTCTCCGCCAAGTTGTTGGTCACATAGTCCACTTTGCAAATTGTTTTGAATTGACTTCTAGTCCACAACTTCTTGTGACGTCTTAGGTAATCGATTCAAGCAGGGCTTTGCTTTCTCCATCTCAGCCCAATGCTTCTTAAACAAGTATGGGTTCCATGAGTAAGTCTTTGCCCAGAGGTGATCATCAAACACCTTCCCACGGTACCTCTTTTTGAAATTAGTCACCAAGTGAAACATGTACTCTCTATGCTATACTGTGGAAATACTTCAACAACAGCTCCCATGATTGCTGGCTCGCATCGGTGCTTATTGCCAAACCCAGAGGTGACCCAATAGCCTCTCTAAGCCTACTCATGAACAAGATCCAATTGTCATTAGTTTCAGAATAAAAACTCCAACACAAGCAGGATACAACCAACTATGTCCATCAACTGCACAAGCACTAGCCAATTGCCCTTGAACTTGCCTATCAGGAAGGTGCTATCTATTGCCAAGTAAGGTCTACAACCATTAAGGAACTCATCTATGCAAGGTTTCATGGCAAAAAAGAATCTCCTAAATCTGAATTCCCTATTTACTATGTAATGGTCAATAATTACTTTGCTACCGGGACAAGAGCTCTCAACTTGTGCTTTGAAACTAAACAAATTATTAAAAGCTGCTATCCCAATCACCATAAAGTTGTTTCATTGCTAGTTGTTGACCCACGATATACCCTCTACGGTAGTTGATGCTCACCTTGTGGTGTTCTTTAATTTTCTTTTGCAATGATGTTGCTCCCAAGTAGCATCTTCTATCGAAAAGTCCTTCACCTTCCAACATATCCAATGTTTGGTAGCATTCTTTATTCTCTTCTTCCTTCTAGTGCTAGAACAATCATGAGCAAAGTTATTCTTCTTCACCTACAAGCGCATTCAAGATAGCTAGTTAGTAAAACATAACATTGTCATACTACATGTAGTAGCAACTAAAAAATTATTCTTACCATAATGATTGCATTTGTCCGTCGTGGTAGATGCATGTAGCCTCCATGGACAATTATCCTCCACTTTCCTTGAACAATAGGCTCTGAACCTACTTTTTGAGCTTTTCTCGTGTTGAATTCAAACTCATGTTTGATTGCATGTTGACAAAGAGCCAACTTGAACACGTACATGTTATGATAAGTAGTGCCTACTTCCATAGGAGGATCTTCTTCATCGAAATCAGCAATTGGGTGATGATTTACTTCTTCATATGGCTCATCCTCATCAGCCTCTAATTCATCCTCATCCTCAAACTCCTCCTCTGAGCCATCCTCAGACTCATCCTCTAAGTCATCCTCAGCCACTGCTTTTTCCTTCCCTTTTTCATAACATCCAGGCACATCTATAGCATTCACAGGTACAATGTCCAAGTACATGATCTCCTCATCAACACCAATATGTTCATTCTCTGGTAAAGGATTTCTAAGGTAATCATCGTCATCCTTCTCTATATTGTTTGTAGGCTGCCCTTCAACATCAAACTCCCACTTAGTGATAGGCTCAAATTTTTCTGAGGGATCACAATAAGCGACAAATATCTCTACAACTTTCTCCTTACTATGTACATCAAACATAGACATCAAATCCTGATCTGATTTTACTACTGGAAAATTCTTAAGAACATTATCATAGTACTGAACATGTGGAATTTCTAAGTAGCCTAGAGGGTACTTCTCTGTAACTGAGTCAATGAAATCCTTATAATTCGACAGATCTGAGTCAATAACCATATCAAAACTAAAACATTTGACATCCTTTCTAGCCTTTTTGCTATTGCCAAGCAAATGAATTTTCAATAGAAAATTAGTAGCTACATCCATCCTGTGAAAGCACAATAACGTCATGCATGAGAACTTCTTCAACCTATGGTGAACTTTGTACTACTAATTTTTGCAGTGGTGTCATGTTATAGGAAATACATAATAATATAGCAAAATAATATATTTATACTAGTATACCATGTCACAATATCATAAGACATTTAGAGTACGTGTTAAATTCATATAGAGTACCTCTTCGCCCACAACTATCAATAAAAAAGTATTGTATCAAACATTCAAACATCAGCTGTTTGCGGATCAATTTCACTACTACAGCCTATAGGAGAATCAAATTTAGATTTCGGAACACTGAATTGACACAAGGGAAAGGGAGAATCGTTGCCAAAGCCTAAAGACCAATAACGGTTTAGCTTTCACTGGCCTCTGTACGCGGCCCAATAGGCCTAGCTGGAGTCCAATAGTTTTTTGGTCCGCAGAATCTAGTGCATCCACCATCGTCTACCTCCGGACTCTCGAGACACCATCCCTCGCGTAAAAAAAACAGAAGCCAAACATGAAGAATAGGCAGTTCGTAGACATAGAGATAATAAACTCACCCTACAGGGAGTTGGTGCTGTGTCCTGGATGTGCCGCCTTCCA